AGTTTATCATTAAGAGCAGATCCTTGTGGTTAAAAACTTCAGAGAGACCAGGGTTTTTAATTCAGGTTTAGCCATTTACTAGCTTGGGCCAGTGTCCTTGGGCTAGTTAGTTAAACTTCCTGAGTCTTAGTTTCCTCATATATTAAATGGAGTGAATATTAACACTGTCTTCTTGGGACTGTTGTGATGATTGAGTAAAATGCCATCTGTCAAGCACTTAGCATAGTGCCTGGTACATCATAACTGCTCAGTAGATTACAATAACTGTAATTATAATGATTGTTACTATGATTATTGTCAAAGGGCATCGCAGGCTGAGCAAAGGCATGGAGGCTTGAGAATCTAAGGCATGATTTGGGGACAGGATGCAGTACTGAACAAGAGGGGAGGGGTCCTTATACCCTGGGGTCACAGCCACCACCCTTTGTCATCCTGGCCTCCTGCAGGTGGAGATGGGGCCCTTTAAGCACACAGTGGACGATGGGCTGGACGTGCGGAAGGCGGCCTTCGAGTGTATGTACTCGCTGCTGGAGAGCTGCCTGGGCCAGCTGGACATCTGCGAGTTCCTGAACCACGTGGAGGATGGCCTGAAGGACCACTACGACATCCGGGTAGGACGGGTCCCCTGCTGGCCCGACAGCCAGCAGGCGCGGGCCCGCTGCTTATGTGCCCCGCACCCCCGGCACCCCCATGAAAATGGCGGCTTTTGTTCTTTTCCAATAAAAAGTACCTACCTCACACCTCTTGCGGGCATCTACACCAGGCAAGCCCTTTGGAGGATGGTGTGGCAAGGAATAGAAAAATGTAGAATTTAGGAAATTTTTTGAATTTAGAATTCTTAAGACACTCCATGAACAGAGCCTTTGGACTGACTCCTCAACGTACATTCAGAGATTTACGTTAGAGATGGTTCTCCACAGCTTTCTGGGAACTGGGAAAAGCTGACAGCTACCACTAAATATCCGACTGTGGGCAGCTGGTTCAGGAAACTGGGTACCCCAGTCACGGAGTCCTGGCAGCACTAACAAGACTGAGCCGGGTCTCTGTGTGCTGGCGGGAAGGGGGCCAGGAGCCACTGTTGGGTGAAAAGCGAGTTGCAGAAACTTGGGCTATTTTACTACCTGTAGGGGTGACAGGCAGGTTTCACCTTCTGTCCTTCTTGTAGCTTTTAAAAATATATGCAGTGAGTATGAATCACTTTTTATAATAAAAAACCAATGTAAAATAATCAAAAGTAATTTTGCTTGTCTTAAAAGATTTAGACAATAGAAAAGTGAATAAAGCAGCAAGTAATGATCACCTAAAAGTTCCACTCCACCTAGAGAACCGCTGTTGTCAGTCTCAGGGAGTTTCTTGGGACAATGCACAGAAATATTCCTTAATTCAGTCAACCAGGACTTGGTGAGTGCTGGCACATGAGGTCAGGGTAACAGACAGGGTGGATTTGAGCTCCGGGCAGCTTGGGCCCAGAGCCTCTGTCTTCCCCAGAGCCTGCTCCTTTTGGCCCTGGGGCATTTCACCAAGAACTGTCTCCTTCCTCCTGCGCAGATGCTGACCTTCATCATGCTCGCGAGACTGGCTACCCTGTGTCCTATGCCTGTCCTGCAGAGGGTGGACCGCCTCATTGAGCCCCTCAGGGCCACCTGTACCGCCAAGGTAAGTCGCCTGCCCACCCCTGGACGCACCTGCCGGGTCCTCTGCAGATTGTCCATCGTTACCATTTACTAAGAATCTGTGATACAGGTGGTGTTTGAAGTGCTTTGTTTAATTATTATCGCTGCCCTATAAAGTACTTATTTTTACTGTTGTATGCACAGGGGAACAGAGGCTCAGAGGTTAAGTTATTGACTGAGGCTGCACAGCTAGTAAATTGCAGAGTGGGGATTAAACCTAGCTGTCTCTCTCACTGATTAACATTTCCTGAGTGCCGGGCCTTGTCCAAGGTACTAGGATGCAACATTGAACGTGGTGGATTCCCCTACCTCACATCCTAACTGGGAAACTCAGTCAGATTCTTAGAAAGCTAGAAATCATTGCTTGATTAATTGGCTGACACAGGGTGGAGTTGGTGCTAAGCTGGCGTGCCTCAAGGTCCCAGGGAGGATCTGGGGCACAAGGTCCTCGGAACAGAGCCTGTCACACCCAAGGGGTACCCAGTAAATACCTACTGAATACAAGAACTAATTTGCATTTTGGAAGGGTCAGAATTAACCAAAAAGAGAGCAGAATATCTTAGATGGGAGCTTGAAGCAGGGTCACAGCTCTTACGGGGTAGTCATTTGCACCCAGGACTGTCCAGCCACAATGCCAAGCTCTTAACCTTTACACTAGCCTCTTTAGGGGAAGAGCCTTAGTGTTGTCTGGGCTGAGTTGCAGAGTGTCCTGAGAGCAGCAGGAATCTAGACTTTACTCCATAAGCAGTGGGGGGGGGGTGGAATTCTTGATTTCTGCGTAAGTAGGAGAGGTGGGGCATAAAGAGCAACAAAGCAGGCCAGGCAGCTTCAGACGTCTGTCCCCAGCTGCACCTGCAGAATGGGCTGCAGAAGCAGCGACTTGAAGAGGGGAGAGGCCAGCCAGAAGGCTGTCACAGCCATCCATTCACTAAGTCCAAGGTTGCCGATCATTAAGTCCAAGGTTGCCAAGAGCCTGTTTTAAGCACAGTAAATAAAAGGTGTGTGATTCCTGCCTGTCAGGGGTGGGAAGACAATTATGTGAACAACTGTCACCATTACTTATTAATAAAAAGAAAGATTGGCTGGTCAGAGGCCCCTCAGGTGACACTGAAACCAATTTGAACGACAGCAACCTGCGGGGAACCAGGAGGCTGGGACCCGAGCAGACTGTGAAGCAGAGAGAGCACGGAGATGGGGTACAAGCTGGGGAAGATGACGGGTGACCAGTGAAGGCGAGGCCAGCTCAGTGAGGACGACTCATTTACTGTTTCCCACTGTAGGTCAAAGCTGGTTCTGTGAAGCAGGAGTTTGAGAAGCAAGATGAACTGAAGCGCTCAGCGATGAGGGCAGTGGCCGCCCTGCTGACCATCCCGGAAGTGGGGAAGAGCCCCATCATGGCCGACTTCTTGTCCCAAATACGCTCCAACCCCGAGCTGGCCGCCCTCTTTGAAAGCATCCAGAAGGATTCTGCTTTGGCCCCCAGCACAGACTCAATGGAGCTCAGCTAGTGCTCCCCTCCCCCGCCCACTCCCTGGGGACCCCTGCTCACAAGGAGACCCACAGAGCCTCCCCCTCCCCCACCGCAGGCCTCTACTTCTGCCCTGTATTCATCTCATGGGGGCCTGGCCGGGGCTTACAGTGCCTTCTCCAAGGACCCCAGCACACAGCCCCCCAGTCAGAGCCACAAGGCTGCCAACCTTTGGGCTCCTTAACTCAGGACAGTCATTCAAAGAGACAGGGGAGGGAGTTCTTCTGAGCCTCCAATGGATGTGACTTCACACTGTGCAGCCTGGCTCCTTCAAACTGGGGAGTCCCTGCCTCACAAAGTACTTAGGACTTAAGACACCCTTGTGCTCACAGCTGTGGAAGGTCAGGAGGCGGCGGGCTGGCCTTCCCCCACCAGTGTCCCAGATTTGTCGCTCACAACACTCATTTCTTCAACTTGATTTGATCTGCCAAATCAGTGCTTTGGCTGGGCATCTTAGAAACTCAGATACTTCTGAGTTATTCACATTTTAGAATTGGCAGTAATAAATCAGAAATGTGTAGTATTTTTGCAGAGGGAGTTGGGTGGGGTAGGGAATTAGACCTAATTTTTTTCTAATTCCAGAACCCTTAGGTAGCGAACTGGGAAAAAGTACAGACCATCTTGTTCATGTTCCCCAACCTAGGCGTAACCAGGTGGTTTGTGAACATGTCCTAGTTTTGAGAACCAAGGGCACAGGAACTTGCAACAGGCCAAAGAACTTTCTGTGCTATCCCAGGTTAATAAACAAGACATCCTAAACTGTTACTTTTTCTCTGCGTGGTTCCTCTACTCAGTAGTTAAGACCAGCAAGATACTTCCCAAGTCAATTCAAAGAAATCTTGAAGTGACCAACAGTGTACTCAATCCATGTTTCAGACTAGGATTTCAACAAAAGGCAGTCAATCTTAAAACATTTACCTACTAGAACCAAGGAACTTGAATCCAATCACGGCTAGCACACCGAGACAGTTACAACCAGTGTAGTGTTTCTGCTCAGTTGACCGGGATGCAAAAAACAAAAAAACCCAGAAATAGCCTCTAAGCATATGTGGCCCTAGAGTACCACACGTCATGTCCCACGTGACCTGTGCTGACACTCAACACCGTTTCTTGGAAAAAAGGCCTCATAGCCTTTAAAACTGCTGCCTTCTAGAAGCGATTGTCGCCTGAGGTCAAGGGCTACAGTTGAAAAGGGAACTTAATTGTTAAATTCTGAGTTATCAGAGGCCCATTATCACCAGGTAAGGACCCTACACCTTCAGAAACCATTAAATTGTGCCTGAAGCAGCAAGCTGGGGGAGGGTCACAAAAGGAGACAAAACTGTCCTCACACATCCAAGGCCAGTCATGCAGTGGAGAGATCTGTGTCATCCTGTTGTGTGTTCTTGGGCAGAAGCAATAGGGTAGTATTTTTAGTATCAAGTAAGAATTTAAGGGAGAAAAAGATTCATCTGGATCCTTGAATGCAAACTTTCACAATCGTCACAAGAACCACATGGGGTAACTTTTCTTCTAAGTTTACAAAGTGAGGCTAAAACCCACCACCTGCTCCAAGGTGCAAGGCCCTTCAACCAGGGATCTCGGAGCCCACCTTGGTCCGAGGATCACATCTCCCCCTCGTCCCAACTGTAGCTGACCAGGGCTGCTCAGGTCCTCAAGCCTGTGCCCTATGAAGAGGCAAGAATCCTTTATAAGCCTTCCAGACAGAAAGTTCCAGAGCACGAACAGGCAAAAGAACAATCTCTTGTCACAAGCTGTCAAAGAAACTGAAGAGTAAAACCAAGGAGGGAAATACCAGATGGCCGAGTTTCATGGTTTTATTAACACAAATACAATGTGCACGGGCCGGCTACTCGTTCTCTTCGCTGCGCAGCCGGGCGCTGGGGTTGGTGACTCTGATGGCCAGCTGGGCTGCTCTCTCCACGATGGCTTTGCGGTTCTTGGAGGAGACGTTGTGAGCAATCTCAGCACAGTAAGATCTGGAATAGAATTGGTCCGTGGGTACTCACTCATTTGCTCCACCAGGAAGGCAGTGGCTCTGGTCACTTCTCCAGAGCCACAGCACTGGGCAAAGGGGCTGCTGACCACAGACCTGAATGTCCCCAAACCCCGACTCCCCTAACTCCATGGTACCAGCAGCAAGGTTCTGAAGTTTCCCGGGCAGTGACCCTCTCATTTAACCCTCATAGCAGCCTTCCAATCCAGGTATCACCTTCCTTTTACAGACAAGGAAACCAAGGCCCACCAAGTGGAAGTGAAAATTCCCAAGTCACTCGCAAGGCCAGGATGGCTCAACCCCAGACTCCAGGCTCAAAGGTTCTCCCTCAGTTCTCTGGGCCAATCTGCCCAGCTCAAGGCAGCTTCAGGGAGCCTGGACCTGCCCATGAAAAGTTTAGGAACTTTCTGTAAAGTAACCAAGAGCAAAATTTAAGTCTGAGTAAGCCAAGGGCTTCCTGGCCCAGACCATAAACATTTTACTTGTTTCCCGCAAACAAAATTCAAGTTGAAAAGTAACACTGCCTGAAGTCACCCATGGGGCGGCAACACCCAACACTTCTGAGCACGTGAGCCAGGTCCCGTTCTAACTCATTCATTCCTTCACAGCCACACCACAGCCCAGCCTGACAACTGGCCCAGTGAGCACATTTCAGTAAGGAAGTGATTTATGACGCCATCAACAGTGGATTAAGACGACACTCCACCCAGAGAAATTTCAGCAGAGAGAGAAGACTCTAAAGAGTAACTAAATAAGGCAACAAGCACAGTTCTTTTCAAAAACTCTAGAGGAAGATGGCTTCACAGCAAAAGACAAGCCAATCCAAAGAACCTTTTCTGTTTTATAAGAAGGAGTCCACTCAAGCTCAGTATCTGAAAATGTTCCCCTAATCTTTGTTTTCAAGGAGACTTAAGTTGTATCACACTTTTTATCTTTTCATTTTTCAAAAACTCCCCAGGTCTTCATCCATGTGTGTATTCAATAATCGCAATCACACTACATATTTTAAATACTTTCCTCTTTACCCGGGCATTTTCCATCCATGACAACAGTTTTTAATACATGCACAACTTCCCACCTGGTGCTTGAACCCTCACCACTCACCAACTATATGACCAACTGCTGAGTTACTGCTGCAATGATCAGCTTATTCTTTCCCCTGCTTTTCAATTATTTAAGGGTAAGTGCCCAGAAATGGATAATTGTGAATTAAGCTTGACCACAGATTCAAAGTATCTCCATGGTTCTTGATACAAACTGCCAGGCTACTATTAAAAAAGACTATCTCTGTGGCAACCAGCAACACGCGCACTGCAGTCACCCTTGCTACACTGAAGGTGTCTCCCTGCATCTTTCTAGCGCAATTCTGAATCAATCTTCTTACTGCGGTCTGGGCATCCACCATCAATTGCTATGCTCATCCTTATCTTAAGGATATTTCCAGCATTTCAACACCTGGTTAAATTTCTGACCCAGAGAAACTCAACCAAAAGTGAGAATAATGGTTGTTTATTTTTATGACTTGTGTCTACAATTAGTATAGGTATTTGTGAACCTACATACACACTAGTTCATCACCCTCTCTCCACGTAATTTCTTAGAAAACGCAAGTTTTTAGCTTCTGTTTAACAGGAAGGGAAGAAAAGTTGTCCCCTGCCTAACCAGACAGCATTGCCTCCAACCCAGACTGAAGTTGTGTCGAACCACTTCCCACGGGGAATCTTTTCTCATACCACTGCCTTACAGACTGGGCCTGAGCAGACCAAGCCTCTTACACGCAGAGCTCACCAAGTGTCTGACTTTCTCAAAACACTTGGAAGTAATGCTGTGGCCCCTCCATGCCCTCTTGCACCCCTACAACTGTGTACCCTCCCGCCTCCCTCCGCCTCAGGCAGCAACTCCTCCCCTGTAACCTTCTGAAGACACCTGTGTGCCCCTTAGGTCTGAGGCTGAATTTCATGCCCCTTCTCCCCACACAATGTTCTGAAAATGACGGTCAAAGGATACCATCACAGGGCCTGCAGTGTAGGCAAGGTCACTCCTCCTCCTTCCAGGTCCCGAGTCTCTACACTTTTCAGGACAACCACCCCCACCTCCGCCACCATCTCTTCAGCAAAGAGAACATTCTTAAGTTCCCAACAAGCATTCTCCAAGCTCCTGAGGATACACGGCTCCTCCAGGTGCATTCTAACATGTCTAGGGTCCTGCCCAAACCGCTCACACACGCAGGGTTCTGACACGGAACCCAGAGGCGGGGCCCAACTCACTTGTTGCACATCAGTAGCACTTCAAGCTCCTTGACGTTGTGGACCAGGAACTTGCGGAAGCCGCTGGGCAGCATGTGCTTTGTTTTCTTGTTGCTCCCGTAGCCGATGCTGGGCATCAGGATCTGGCCCTTGAACCTCCTGCGCACTCTGTTGTCAATGCCTCTGGGTTTCCGCCAGTTCCGCTGAAAGAAAACACATGGTTAATGTCCGTGGAGATTGCCAACTCTTCCTGTTGGAGAAAAAGTGGAGCAGATGAAAAGGAAATATGCCAGATGGGTAACTGTCTTTGGGTAACAGGATTTCGCTACCTTTTTTTTGCTGGAAAAGAATAGGGACTTCTGCATTTGACCAGCACCAGCCTTCTAAGCAAAGCAGAAGCAGCAGACTCCATAGAGAGGATTGTGTGGTAAGATGAGGAGCAGGGGTTTCAACAGCACACTCAACACCTAAGTTTTCTCAATAAAACTCAATCCTCTATAAAATGAGGATAATCTCTTATACTTCATGAGGCCACCAGAAATATAATACAAATATAAGCCTCTAGACATCTCAAGACAGGCAAATGTCCCCTGTCATTTAAATGTCAATTTACACATCAAGAGACCAAGTGCCAGTATGGGAAACTCAGGGACACCTGGTTTTCTACAGAGCTCTTCCACCAACCACAGACCAGTTCATCTGCCAAATGTAACCTGAGCTGATGTCAGAAACCCAAGAGCCTTTTTAGGAATCCCTTTCTTTACCCCAACGCACAGTTCCAACTCGGACCATATACCTTAATTTTGACATATCGGTCTGACTGGTGCCGGATGAACTTCTTGGTCCTCTTTTTGACGATCTTGGGCTTCACGAGGGGTCTGAGGGCGGCCATGATGCCTTCAAGAAAAAGGCAGAGGACGTCAATGACGAATCTTGGAAACAGGCTCTCTCGCCCAGGACCTGAACATTGTTGCAGAGTGTCTTCCAATCACCAGCTACTGAGCAAACTGGGAATGGAATGGGTATACCTCTGCCAGCCTTGTTCTCCCTCCCGACTCCGAAGCTGGCAGAACACTAGCCATTCTCCAGACGCGATCCTGGGAGGTTAGGGTTCACCTCGCCCACTCAAAACCAAGAAAGAATGTCAACAGGTGACCTAAAACAAATTAACCCCAAAGGACAAACACACCAAGGACTGGTAAATCCCATTCTACAAAGTGTCCCAACCCCAAGATGGCCCAAACCCCTTTTAGCGCTGCAGGCCTTGGGGCAACCTACACGAACCTGAATCTGTTTTCTCCCCTGTAAAATGGAGGGACTGCAAATGGCCCACCCGCAGTGCCCGGACCAAAGCAGAGGTTCAGTAAAGAGAATCGTGTAATTCCCCCGGAGTGCTGCCGCTCCGTTAATACCCTCAAAACATACACAAAACCGTGCTGTGCTTCTAAAATGTCTCCAGGCCTCGGAAGACACTGTTCTACCCCGACATCATCCGAGTACCAACTTTAAAAAGTGACCTTCCTCAAGGTGGCCTTTCCGGCTGCCCTCTTTTTTTCAACTGCAGCACCCTTTTTGTTCTCTTCACGGCCATCAATTTCTTTGCTCGGCACACTGTAGGTACCCAATGAATGTGTTCAATAAACGAACAACCCCCACCCTCAATGACTTCCAAGACCAGGAAGCTGCTGCACGTCACCAGAGATCCCGACCCGCTCCCAGAATTTCGGTTAACTGAACAAGCCGACTTGCAGCTCGACTTGGGGTGTGTGTGGTTTTCCTGGCGGTCTCGCCGCAGGAGCAACTCCAGGGCCAGAAACTGGAGGGGAGGGAGAACCGAGCAGCAGAAAAAGAATACACGTGGGCAGACATCGCTGAGCGAGGTGATCCCAGGGCTGGAGCCCAAGGTCAGAACCCCTAGGTCCTCCACGGCCCCCAGGAGCCCCCTTAGTTTGGCCACAAACGGCGCCAGCGCCCCAGGGCTCAAACACGTTGTCCGCAGCTCTGATCGACCCCAGGAGGCCTCCACAGGAGGGCAAGCGGCCCTGGGAAGCGAACCCCCATCACCCGGCGGGCCGCTCCGCTCCGTCCCTGTACGCGCTCCAGCCAGACGACAAGGACAATGCCCACCGAGACGACCACTCGGAAGGACAGGCCTCCTCAGCAGGGAGCGATGGAGCCAGATGGAGACTGCAGGGACGTGGATGGCCAAAGATTAAAACTTACCGACTAGGAGATGGCTGCTACCTCCGTAGGTAGCGCCGAGGAAGAGAGGGGGAGGGATGGTGCGCGGGGGCTGATGGGACTTCACCTTTGGGTCCTGGCAGGGAAAAGGCGAGAACTTTCGGCAATTGGTCCTTCGAAGAAACTAATTGATCCTTCGAAGAAACTAAAGACACTTCAGAGAAATAACATTGAAAAATGTCGACTGTGTTTTCCTAGACTTTGATATTTAGGAACACTGAAAATTTTCATGCTTGTCGTTGGGACTACGTAGAAAATTTGGAATTCTTTTTGCGCTTCCAAGACCCGGTTGGGGGGGGTGGGGGGGGGTGGAATCCACTTCCGCCAGGAACTGAAGCCGCCGCTACGCAGGATAATCCAGTTTTTAGATGACTTCCGCCCGCCTTTCTTTTTGCAAAGTGTGCCTCTTAGTGGCCAGGAGGAACAAAACAGCGACTTCCTAATAATTCCCTCACGTGAATTTATAGAGCAAAAAGCAATGAGACTATAACAGCTATCATTCAATGGGCTTCGCACACTTCTACCAAGGGAGTAGAAGTTTCCCCATTTTACATATGTGGAGAGCGAAGTTTGGAGATCTGACGCCAAATCCACGCTTCTGATCATAAGGCTAGACTGCCTCGTCATTCTTGATTTGTTTTGTTTAAGCTTTTGTTTTTAAGATTATTGTGAAAATCAAATTTCAGGAGAGGAAAAAAAAAAAACGCCCCTTGATTCCACAACCCGAACACAATACGGTTGTCATGTCACCAGTGATCTTTGGTAGAGCAGTTCCAGGGCTGAAGTGGATGGTGTTCTGGACTGAGTGATGGCTGAGGAGGGACGGGAGCGGGTGTTGACCACGCACTTCTTGATGAGATTCTGACCGTGAAGGGGAGTTTGAGGAGACTCAGAGAAGTGAAGCAGGCCGTGTGAAGTGAATTGGCCGAAGATCACAGTGGCAGGCAGTAGGGCTGAGACTGCGGGTCCTGTGCGTCTGCAGGCTGTGGGAGTCAGCTGACGCGAGACTCTGGGCGAATGGCAGCCCACAGGGTGTGGGTCATGAGGAGGGGTCTTGAGGGGGTCACGTGGGTGAATGGGTGAAGGGCTCACAAACCAGAGAATGTGCTTCCAGTTGTGAAAGGCCCAAGAAGTTTGGAAGTAGTGACCCAAATGGCTCAGTCTTTGGGGGATGAGGGACTTGCTGCCACTATTTCAGGGGGAGGGCACAGGGGTCCCACACTGCCTGCTGCTTCCCCGTGGGCACCGAGATCCCAAGATGAGAGGCTGGAGGTGCCATGCTGGCATCTCTGTCATCATCCCAGGGAAAGTGCCTGCTGTATCTTCCCAGGCTAGGACCTCCGCTTTCCAACACCCCTCTGGCCACAGTTCCTGAGCAAGAAATGGCATCAGCTGGGTCACAGGGGACATAAACTCCAACTGGTTTATTTAGAAAGGACAGAGATCAGGAAAGGGAAACACTGAGAACCACATCTTTCCCTTGACACTTCGCCCTCTGAGACGCTGGTCGCTTTGGGTCTGGAGAGAGCTGGCCCAGACCCTCTCACTGAAATGACTTCTCTTGTCCGGCTCTTTGGTAGCTCCAGGCTGCTAGCTACGCTGGCCTCAGGCCCAGGACGGCCAGATTTGGTGACACCTGGGCCACTCTAGTCGATGTGGTAGATCTTGCGGGCATCGTAATAGCCGTAGGTCATGTAGTGCGTGTCCTTAATGGGCCACCGGTGGTTGGGGCAGTAGGTGGCCGAGCAGGCTTGGGGTCGGTGTTGGACACAACTGAAGAGTACCAGGCTCCGGTCCATGGTCACAGTGGGCAGGAAGAGCTGCAGCTTGTCCAGGAGGTGACCCGGCCAGAAGAAATTGGGATGGGTTAGCTGCGGACCACTGGGCATCTTGGCCTTCAGCTTCCTGGAGAACAAGAAGACACAGGGACAATTGTCCCGGCTGACGGGTAGGGGCCAGGGCTCCTTCTCGGCAGAGCCCACTCACTGTGACCAGAGTGGAGGGGTTGCACCATGCTCCACACTCTGGTACCACAGTCCTCCCCACAGTGCCACGTGGTACGCACTGTTGTCTGCTCAGCCTCACCAACCAGGACCCAGAGGCCTAGAGAGGCTAAGTCATTTCCCCAAGGCCGCACACCCAGCAAGGGGTAGGGAGCAGGCTTGACTTCCCATCTGCTGCCTCTCAACTCAGACTCTTCAGTGTACCCCATCTGTTCCACTGAGGCATTTTAATGTGCTGTTCAGAGAACAGCCTCTGGAGCCAGCACAGCTGGGTCCAAATCCCTGCTCCACCTCTTAACAGATGTGTGGCTTTGACCAAGATATTTAACCTTCTTGTACCTCAGTTTCCTCTTCTGTAAAATGGGTATGCTAAGAGTAACTTCACAGGGCTGTTGAGAGGATTCATGCGTTAACACATGGAAAACCTGCCTGGCACTCTAAGTGTTGTTTGATTGCTTCTCAGCCCCTGGGCCCTGAGTCCCAAATGCTGTGCTACCCCGTGTACTGTGCAGCGTGCAGAGTCCTGGCACCTCCCCCCCACCCCGGCCCCTTCCCGAGTTGGGTGATCGCTACAGACCTGGTGAATTCCTCAAACTCCTTAAACGGTATGTTCTTGATTCTCTTTGGCATTTTCCTACAGAAGAAGAGAGAGAGGTATCTTGTCAGGAAAGGGGAAATCTAGGTCCACGGGGCCTTGGGCCACAGGGGTCCCACCTCTAAGTCCAGACCAGAGCCCTGAAGGGAGAACTTCTACCTGGTGGAGCCCTGACTCTGTCCCCCACGCTCCTGTGGATCTCTCAGTCCCCCACCATGGGTCAGATAGACAGTCCATGAGTCAAAGCCCAGGATGGCAGCCTTGCGCTCATAACCTGGCTGGCTGGGCGACGTGGGGCCAGTCACCCACCTTGTGGAGCCTCGGGGTTCTCATTTCCAGGCACAGAGACCTTCCAGGAGGTTGTGAGATGTGCCCACTGGTCTGAATCCTTTGGGGGCCCCTGACTCCCACTTGCCCCCCGGAGCTGAATCCAGCCTTGAGGACAAGGGTGGTGAAAGCTAAGGTCCCAGCCTCAGGTCTGGCAGACACCACTAATCGTGCACAGCACTCTTTTCCCAGCAAGCCTGCATCTGGCCTCAGAATCTTTCACAACACAGTAGCCGAGGAAATCAGTCCATCCCTGCCCTGGGGGACTTCTGTCCTTTACAAATGTGACCCCCCTGAGCAGGATAAAAGCCACTTTCTCAGGTTCCAGAGGTTCATGGCTCAGGAACTGGGGGCAGCCACCCCAGCTTGTGCTCAGCTCTTCCCAACCAGGGTTGGGGACAGGCCCCCCTGCAGACCTAGCCCACTCCTGCATTTGCAAACAACCTGACAGTGAGGGTACAACAACAACCCTCATGGCTCGAGTGCTAACTGTCCGTTAAGAAGTTTACATGCATTTCTATCGTGTTGGGGGGACTGTTATGCCCATTTTACAGATGGAGATGCTGAGGCTCGGGGAGTGAAGTAACTTGTCCATGTAACCCGTGGCCTGTCTGATTTCCACTCAGCTCCACTGCATCCCACCCAAGCTGTTCCGGCCACACCATCACTGGGGAGTGGGCAGTGATCTGCAGTGTGGGCAGGTCCTGGGCCCCCCCCCCCATCATGCTGTCTAGTCAGCTGCCTCCTCCTCCCTCTGCAGAAATGCCTCCTGCCCTCCAGTCTGCAGTCACCACTGATGCTGGCTCACAGCCTGCCCACGCGTCTCCTCCTGCCAAAGGAGGACATTTTCTTAGAGAGGACTCGGGTTGATCTGAGGGGCAGGGGCAGGGGTAGGCCCCACTGCAGAGTTCTTCTCTCCTCTTAGGGGTCTGCAAGCCCACCTCTTGCTGGAGAAGGCAGGGCAGAGTCAGGGCTGCCACCACTGTCTTCTGCCAGGCCCCTGACACCCAGCCCATAATTTGTGACGGGGCCTCCCGCGTATCTCTAAGAAATCCCTCTTTTAAACCCTTTCCAGAAAGCTTGGGATCAGGTAGGGTGTGGTCAGGAGGGTAGCGGCATGGGAGTGAGGTGGGAGGCTGCGGAGACTCGTGCCAAGGGTGACACCCAGGACTGGCCAGTCTGTGGACCAGCTGGGTTGGACATGCCAGGTTAGGGCACAGACACTGGCACAATGTGACACCCAAGTCCCAGCAGTGAAGGGACAGCAACGGGGCAGGAGCAAACGGCAGGGAGGGAGCGATGTGACACTCAGCTTGTCAGTCTTCTTAGCCACAGGCTCGGGGACGCCCTGAGATCTGAGCAGGGTCAGGTTCTGACAGAGGATCTTCAGGTCTGAGTAGTAGCCCCCTGGCTGCCGGATCGGGCGCACCTGGTCTTTCTGAAAAATGATCTTGTCCCCCGGGTACAGCAGGGCTGTGAGCAGCAAGAGAAACACGCCTGTGAGTTCAAGACCCCTCCCCACCCCAAGTCTTTGGGGCAGAGGGGGACTTTCTTTTTTTAATTCACATTTTTGTTTGAAAGGATTTTCTCTTATATACCTGTTTTTGACTTTTTACTTTTAAATGATTGTAGATTCACAGCAAGTTGCAAAAATAGTGCAGAGGGTCCCTCAGACCCTTCCCCTAGGCTCCCCCAGTGGTGGCGTGGGGACCGCAGTGCACTGTCAGGAACTGCTAACCCAAAGGCAGAGGAGGGCGCCCGTTCAGAACCAGGCAGCTGTGGCCCAGAGGCCTGGGTGCAGTTAGGACGGAGTGCGTGCGGCCCCCACACCCAACTCTGCAGGGGGCATCCTGGCCTGGAGTCCCAAGAGGAGGAAGGTGGGGGGGTCACCTGAGACTCCATTAGATTAAGTCAGACCCAGTCGACAGTTTTCTGCTCGTGCAGAACTTACAGAGCACTGGGGCGGGGGTGGGGGTGGGGGCATAGCTCAGTGGTAGTGTGCTTGGCATGCATGAGGTCCTGGGCTCAATCCCCAGTACCTCCATTTAAATAAAGAAATACCCAATTACTAATACCCCCCCAGCCAAAAATAATCAAAAACAAAACAAA